AAGCATGACTAGTTTGAGATATTTGATCCATGAGAAATGAAGCATATGTTGTTGCTAGAATGTATAGAATATGCTATGTTGCAAACCAAGCATGATATTATGTTCTTAAGTACTTCATGATACCTTATACATGATTTAGGAGCATGATATAGCGCATTTTGGCATTTCACACATGTCATCTTTCAAAATGCATAAGGGGCCAACGTGAGCCCAAGTAATATTTTCAAAAACCATAAGCATGTGGTATATCATTCTTTGATGCATTGAGAAGTAGTAGAATTGTTGTATGCATGAGATTGATGCATGAGAGATATATTTATGTATTATCTATATCGGTGAAGTTTTGGAGGATACCTGTAACACCCCGTGTTACGACCCCTAAAACCAATTAATCATTTAATCAATTACCCAAAAGAAAGAATTAAATTCCGGTAATTAATTAGGAAAAGGCCCACCATAGTCCATGGGCCCTTATCCCTAAAAACAATCCCCTAATCCTAGAAGGAATAGAATTAGCAAGCCCATAGTATTTAGACCCTAATTGGGACTCTTAGGTATGTAAATAGGGGGGCATAGGAGGCACCTACAACCCACACCACAATAATCTCTCACCACACAAGAAGTTCCAAGAACTCCCCTAGGAGAAATCAAGAAAGAAGGAATCTTAAAGAAAGACCCTTCATAGCCAAGGAATTAATTAAGGCTAAGAGGTAACCCATGTCTCAACAAAACCTATTTTCCTTGCTATAATTATCTTCTTTGGCTTCCTCTCTACACTTGTGTCTTGATGAATCGTTTATGATATTGATGATATGATCTTGATGATTGTGAGATAATTTTATGTGTGATCTTGATGATCTTGATGATGATAAGAGGTTCTTGATGATTATGTGATATTCTTGATGAATCTTGACGTTTCTTGATGTTAAAAGACGAACTATGATTTTGATGATTTAAATATGATTAGAGCCCTAGGTCAAATTGGGGATTTCGTATTGTGTTATTCTTGATATAATTGGGTGGGACATTTCGCATGTTTAGGTGTTGATTATGTTTAGAAATCATGATAGGATGTGTGCTATATGATTCTTGCTTTTGATCCGTTTATTGTCTACATGGTGTCATCAATTGCGTTTAAAAGCGTCTGAGCATGGTTTCGGGTTCCACAACGGATCCCAGGACATTTACTTTGATAAAGAGTCTCCTACCCGTTGCTCGAAAAAGACGCCGCCGGCAGCGGGCAGCCGGCGGGCAAGAGACTGCCCGCCGGGCACCCGCTGCCCGGAGGCTTGTCGCCGGCGGGTGGTCCTCTACCCACCGGCTACCCGCTGGAATTTGCCCAACTTGGGTATTCGGCTTCCCCGTTTGATGTTTCACCGACCCTCGTGGTGTCCCAACGGACTTCATTTATCGTGCCTAAAGTCTAGTTCGATGTTTCGGGTACCATTTGTAGGATCAACGAGTCTTATATATATATATATATATATATATATATATATATATATATATATATATATATATATATATATATATATATATATATATATATATATCGCATGCTAGTTGAATTGGTATCCCGTTAGCCTAGGTGAAAGAAGTATGAACCCCTTAGGATTATTCCTAGAATGTGGATGACCACGCATAGTTTCATTATACGTTTTCTCCCCTTTCCCAATGTGTTAATATGGGTTGCATGTGCTTGCTATGTGTTATGTGTGCATGATACCCCAATTTGGTTGCGATCAAATTGGTTATTCCTGAGCTGCGGTTCAGAAGCTAGCTGCGGTCAGAATTACACTCTTGGGCTGCGGTCTACCGTTTGGTTGCGATCAAACGTTTTACATGAGCTGCGGTTCATATTCCTGGCTGCGGTAAGATAATCACTCTTGGGTTGCGGTCCACTGTTTGGTTGCGATCAAACATTTTGATGAGCTGCGGTTCATCGGTCGGTTGCGATCGACCCCTTCGTATTGCGATACGAGGCAGGGTGCTGCGGGGCCGTGTCAGAGCTATATGCGCTGACCCTCATGTATGGGCATGCGATTGGTCCTGTGGCGCCACAAAAGTATGCTTGTGTGATGAGATAAAAATTGAATGATGACATGAATGAGATGAAGTGGATTTATGACCATTGGACACATGCTAGTATCTTTATATGCTTGGTTATAACTGTTAAATGTGCTTATCCCTATCTGTCGAGTCTATTATTGTTTTTAAAACTAGTGTCTCTTAAGTATATATCTTCCTGCTTCAAAATGATTTTCGTATATCTATATATATCTATCTATAATGTATTTCAACGCGTTGGAGTGGGTTACCGGCATCTTTCGCTGAACAGATATATTTGGCTTTCAGGCACAGACGAGTAGATCCCAGAGCGCGCTAGAAGATTGTGGATTAGATAGATAGTCTTTCCTTTCGGCCTGCGTGCCATAATGATGTATTAAGGATATTAGTTAGTTTAGCCTGTGCATCTGAGTTCTCCAGCTCAGATGTGGCATAGCACCCCGTACACTTGTGACTAGTATTACTCTGTTTGGGATTTTATGAGAAATTGCCTTTATTATATAAGCTTTAAAAGTTTCAAAATTTCTGGGTGTTATTGTGATACCCCGTTATTTTTTATAATATTATGTTGATTTAATACCCTCCGAAATTAATTTGAATGATCCAAAATTATGTTAGCCTACTATTAAATTATTTTATTATATATTATGTGACCCAAAAATATTTTTTAAATTATTTAATTAATATATTTTTCAATGATATATACTTATCTTATAAATAAACATATATTATTTATGCAAACATATGATATATATGTTAATGTGTTACGGATATACATATATATTAAATATGTTAGTACACACTGTTTTGCTATATATAATAAGTATGTAATCTAATCCTCCTCATAATCATCCTAATCCCATTTAATATGTTTCTTTCTGTTACACAACTCTAATCCCATATATACCTATAATCCTAATCTTGCTATAACTCTAATCTGATTATGTATTTTTCTTATCCTAAATATTTTCCTCTATCAATTCTCACCGATCTTCTTCTCGCCAAATAGAAGAAATGATAAAAACAAATTAAACGTTAGTCTCCTCCTTCATCGACATAGTCCGGTCCTCCATCATCATCATCATCATCAATTATAGCTCGCAGACGAGGGTCGATGAGTATAGGTGTTTCGGATGTGCGCTGAGTATTTCAACTTTTAATTAGCCCGGGTAAGATTTATGTTCACTAAAATCCTTTTACCCCAAATCAAAAATTGATTTTTCTAATTGTTTATGTGATTCATGATTTTGAAAAAAAATTGATGATATTTAGTGTTGTAAGTTATTTGGTTATATTATGTGGATAGATATATGAGTTTACTCGGTTTAGATGTGTTGAAAACCCTGCATATGTGATATGGTGATTTTTTTTGGTGATTAAAAAGGGAAAATTTTTACTCAATCTGATTATTGCCTGTGAAAATTCTGACTGGCGCAGCTGGAAAGAAAAATTCGTGAAAAATACTTCCTAAACTTGTTTTTGCTTGAATGTTTTTATGGAGAACCTAGACTTGTTATAATTGATGTTTGTAAAAAGTTTGGGTTAAAAATATGTTTCGATATTTCCAGAAAAATTTCGTAAAGTGGAGGCAGTGTGCTGCCAGTTCAATTTCTGTCTGGCCAGTGTTGGGAAATAATTCTGGAAAAAATACTTTTAGAACTTGGATTGATTTGAAACTTTTTGTGTATAATCTAGACTCATTGTACCGTGTATCTGGAAAATTTCATCTGAAAATGTGTTACCAATATATTTCTATAAATTTTGCAATTCAGGTCATACCTTCTGAAAATTTCTGACAGTTCCTTATTTGAGGTGTTGAGAATTTGTTTGCTTGAGAAATATCAGTAATGTTGTCAATTTTATAAAGATTGAAGATAAAGGAAATTTATTCTTAAGACTTGTGTAGTATCCTGTTGTGAAATTCTGGATACTTGGGTTATGACCCAGTTTGTTGTGGAGTGAGCGGTTGAATATACCGACTCACTAGGGAGCTTAAAAACTCTCTGTTGTTTTGTGGAGTGAGCAGTAGAAACATATCCTGTCTCACTAGGACATTTAGTCCTGTTGTTTTGAGGAGTGGTTAGCCGGAGTCTACCACTTGGGTATTTACCCTGTTGAGTAGTAGTCAGTAGAAACGTATCCTGACTACTAGGACTAGTTACTACCCATTGGGCTTGGAAACCCATTGGGGGTGTGCACACTTAAGGTATTAGTTCTGTTCCACTTATATGGGATTTTTGCGTAGTGTTCAGTTGAGTGAGTACTGTTCACTAGGGCTTATAGAATAAGACCCTGCCCATCATTTGGTTGGTTTATATGGGATTTTTGAGTAGTGTTCAGTAAAGAGAATTACTGTTCACTAGGGCTTAAGTAATTAAAACCCTGCCCATTATTTGAGATTGAATGGGATTTGTGTAGTGTTCAGTATGGTGATTACTGTTCACTAGGGCTTAATGAAACAAGACCCTGCCCATTGCATTGAGATTGGTGTTTCTCCATGATGGAAAAAAAAAATATAATACTTTTGAAAGGTTCCTAAAATATCCATTGTGAGACTACTGATTTGTTATTTAAAAATTATGAGTATTGTTGGGAAATTATGGTTGTTGGAAATTCTGAGTATTTCATATTTGAGTTATGTTCTATATGATTATGCTCTATTGATAATAAAAGATTAAATGTTTAAAGGGTGTATGCTATATGCCAATTATCTGCTCCTATGTGCTATGTTCAAATATGTTTTACGGGGTGAAGTAGATCTTACAAGCTTAATGCTGAATTTGTGTGTTTCCTTGTGCTCTGTTCTTTAACTCGGGTTGCAGGTGTTTTGCATGAGCATTGGATAAGAGAGCGAGCGAACCACCTAGAGAGTTTATTATTTATTAGTTAGTCAGTTGGATTGTTAGTTGTTCTTGTACTAGTTCATACTTGAGTTGTTTTAGTTGTTGTAAATTTAGCCTTAGCATTTGGGTATAGAGAAATACCTGAGCGTGGCGGTAGCACTCTCCTTTTCTTTTAGTTTTATTTTCGCTTCCGCAGTTACATTCGTTTTCAAAAAAAAAAATTGTATGTATTTTCGACAGTTAATGTAGTTTAAGAAATGAGGGTGTTACAAATTGGTATCAAAGCCTAAGTTTGACCCTAGGATAAGACCTTGGAGACCGGACTTTGAGACATTAGGCTTGAACTCTAGATATTTAAGTACGTAGGAGTCAGGAGACTTAAGACGTTTGGTGAGATTGTGAGTATACCCACCATCACATATCCCCCCTCACTCTTGTTTAAATTAAAAGAACTTCCCCTCCACTTATCGCACCAAGGTAAGGGTACAAAACTCTAACTCGACATTACTATAAACATTGGCCCAGTAAAACGGCAGCATGGCACCAAACAGAAGACAATCAAGGACTCCGGAACCCGCCACACACGATCCCTTGCCTCAATCCTTACAGCAACTAACACAAGTCGCCCAGACACTAAGCGACGTAGCTCTCCGCAACAACAGACCCCCACCACCTCCATCAAGCACGATCTCAGAAGTCGCCCGACAAGTTTCAAATCATCGACCACCCACGTTCTCAGGAGAAGAAGATCCCGTAATCCTTGAGGAATGGATCCGAACCTTCGACAAGATTCTAGGGTTAGTAGAATGCCCAGAAGAACGTCGTGTAGAGATAGCCTCATTCTATTTCGGACACGAGGCCGACCTCTAGTGGATCCACGAGGGGCCCACTTACAGACAGGAACCAGGGTTCGACTGGGAAAACCTCAAAACACGACTACGAGAACGATTCTATCCAACACACGTAAAAGCATCCATGCACGAAGAGTTCCTCCACTTGAAACAAGGAATGACTACCGTCATGGAATACCATAAACGGTTCCTCAAGCTAGCACGCTTCGCACCAGAACTAGTCCCCACTGAGGCAACCAAAATAGAAAGGTTTGTATCGGGTCTCAACTTCGAAGCCCGAAAAGCACTAGTAGTAAGCAGACCCCGGACCCTCAACGAGGCTTACTCCAGTGCCGCAAATCTCTATCGGATCCAATTACTGCAACGTGGGGTTCAGGAACAGATTCGAAAAAGGAACACAGGAGGTGGAGCACCACCTATAAAAAGAACGAGAAACGACGCCAACACAAGACCAAGCAATCCCGTTGGCCAGAGGCCACCCCTAGGAAACAACGAAACTAACACAAGGAGCTTCCCTTGCCCAAAATGCAACAAAAACCATAGAGGCAAAGATTGCATTGGCAACCACTGGCGATGCTTCAACTGCGGGGAAGAAGGGCACAAGGCCTTCCAATGCACTCACCCCAGAAATCACGCCCCCACAACCATGGGCCAACACGGGGGCACGAATCATCAAGGAAACTACGGTGCCCCCGGAAAGGTGTTTATCACAAGCCGCACCCAGGCCGAACTCGAGAACGAAAACAACCTCGAGGAAGGAGACATGGCTCCAGGGGACGAGGACTACGCAAACCCACCAGAAGAAAACCAAGGAGATGAATTCTGTTTAGGATAACTGGCAAATCCCTTGTATCCACCCTCGTAGTAGAATTACTTGCTTAGATTAGCTACTTCGGAATTATTATAAATAAAGAGCTAAATCAAAATTAATTTTAGCATAAGGGAAAAAGACTAGATTATGCACGTCAACAACAAAAGGGGGACAAACCAAGTCTTCTAACACTAGAAGACAAAAGAAGGAAAAAGACAAGGATCACACAATAAAGAAGACTAGTTTTACCAATAAGAATTGAACCCTTAACCTTCCACTTATAAAACCAAGACCTTAACTACTAGGCTATGAGTGTTTCTCACAAACTCAAGGGAACACTCCCTTCTTAAACCCCTACAAATCCCTAGAACCCACAAAATCCCCAAATCAAAAACCCTTCTTCTTCTTCCACATTCCCTCTCTCTCACTCTCCCTCTCCCTCTCCCTCTCCCTCTCCCTCTCCCTCTCGCCTCTCCGCCGACCCAACACCACCCAACACCCCAACAACCATCCCGCCAGTCGCTGTCACCAACAGAGTCGCCGACGGCCACCCAGGCGACACCCCACCACACGCCACAGTCGCCGCCCGGACGCAGCCCGCGACGCCGCTACCGCCCGTCGCTCGACCGGACGCACCCCACTGCCACACACACCGCCGCTGCCCGACTCCACCGAAGGCCACAGCCACCTCGCTGAGCCGTCGCCAGAACCAAGCCACGCCGCCACCCCCTTTTGCCGTCGAGAGAACCGTGTCGCCGGAGTCACGCCGGAAGTTCGTCAGAACACACCACCTAGACAAAAACCCAAAATGCCGAAAAAGCCCCTCGGAACCCGCACCCCGGAATGGAGCAACGCCGACTACACCGTGATCGGAGGTAAAGCTTTCGAACCCGACCAATTCTCTCCGGAGTTGGTCGACATGCTTAACTTCCAAGGGCTCTTGGATACGTATCTCACCATTAAAGGGGATACATACCCCGAATTGGTGAAAGAGTTCTATCATCACTTGGTGGCTGTCAAGCGAGGTGATAAATTGGAAATCACCGCTAAAGTCCGAGGCAAGGAAATCATACTTTCCGAAGGCCGCTTGGCCAAGCTCTTGAGACTGACCACCACAGGTGTGTCAGACTACGACCGAAAGGGGTGGATTGGTACCCAAAACCTGGGGTACAAGGACTGCCTCGGGTACCTACTTGGAAAGGGAGAAGGCTTCACCTCGGCCACTCGGCCAAATAGGAAATGGCTAACCGCAGAACAAAAGATACTAGTCATGATTGTAACTGATAGCCCGTTGCCTACAAATAACAAGAGCAAGGATGTGGGAAGTTTGGAGTGCACTTTTGCTTACCTTCTAAAACACAAAATCAAGTTCAACCTACCGGCCCTTATGTTAAAACACATGGAGTTTTGCAAGACTAGCAACCGACTTAGTCTACCTTACGGAATGATCCTGAGTTGGATCATGGAGAAGAAAGGAGTAGACCTGAGCCACACAGAGGTCAAGCCCGCAAGCGATATTGTTTTCAATGCCTAGAACCTCCGTCGCAACGATATCTACTACACCGAAGGGGGACAATATATCACCCTCGAGGAGATTTGCCTTAAACCCGAGGAGGAGCGGAGAGAATTGGTTGACTGATTGGACATCTCCAACAAAAAGCTTAAACGGGCAATGCAAGATTGTGGGGGACTAGAGGGAAGTGAGGAACAGGAAGAGGATAGCGAGCCTAACCCACCGGCACCCGCACGATCAAGAGGAAACCCAAGGGGACAAAATGAAGAATCCATCAATGAGCGCATCCTCGCACAGCTCACCCGACAAAACCAAATCATGGACAAAGGGTTCTCGTCCTTAATCCACGCGACACGCGCTTTAGATCAGAGGGTGGCAGCAATCGAGACCATCCTGGGCACTCGCGGGGCATCCAGTACAGGAGCAGGAAACCAAAGTAGACCCGAACTTTCCAATCACCACGTCACCAGAAATCCAGTCTACCCCAGCAAGGACAACACGTGGGGCCACGTTCCTAACCAGGAAGCGAAAATACGGAATGTCCAGGGGTGAAAGAATGGATTAACGCGAGTGTAACACCCCGTGTTACGACCCCTAAAACCAATTAATCATTTAATCAATTACCCAAAAGAAAGAATTAAATTCCGGTAATTAATTAGGAAAAGGCCCACCATAGTCCATGGGCCCTTATCCCTAAAACCAATCCCCTACTCCTAGAAGGAATAGAATTAGCAAGCCCATTTTATTTAGACCATAATTGGGACTCTTAGGTATATAGATAGGGGGGGGGGGGGGGCATAGGAGGCACCTACAACCCACACCACAATAATCTTTCACCACACAAGAAGTTCCAAGAACTCCCCTAGGAGAAATCAAGAAAGAAGGAATCTTAAAGAAAGACCCTTCATAGCCAAGGAATTAATTAAGGCTAAGAGGTAACCCATGTCTAAACAAAACCTATTTTCCTTGCTATAATTATCTTCTTTGGCTTCCTCTCTACACTTGTGTCTTGATGAATCGTTTATGATATTGATGATCTGATCTTGATGATTGTGAGATGATTTTATGTGTGATCTTGATGATGATAATAGGTTCTTGATGATTATGTGATATTCTTGATGAATCTTGACGTTTCTTGATGTTAAAAGACGAACTATGATTTTGATGATTTAAATATGATTAGAGCCCTAGGTCAAATTGGGGATTTCGTATTGTGTTATTCTTGATATAATTGGGTGGGACTTTTCGCATGTTCGGGTGTTGATTATGTTTAGAAATAATGATATGATGTGTGCTATATGATTCTTGCTTTTGATCCGTTAATTGTCTACATGGTGTCATCAATTGCGTTTAAAAGCGTCTGAGCATGGTTTCGGGTTCCACAACAGATCCCGGGACGTTTACTTTGATAAAGAGTCAGTGGGGGGTAGGTGGGGGTAGGGGGACCCGCCACCTACTCGCTGCCCGAAAAGGACGCCGTCGGCAGCGGGCAGCCGTCGGGTGGTCCTCCACCCACCGGCTACCTGCTAGAATTTGCCCAACTTGGGTCTTCGGCTTCCCCGTTAGATGTTTCCCCGACCCTCGTGGTGTTCCAACGGACTCCGTTTATCGTGCCTAAAGTCTAGTTTGTTGTTTCGGGTTCCATTCATAGGATAAACGAGTCTTATATATATATATATATATATATATATATATATATATATATATATATATATATATCGCATGCTGGTTGAATTGGTATCCCATTGGCCTAGGTGAAAGAAGTATGGACCCCTTAGTATTATTCCTAGTATGTGGATGACCACGCATAGGTTTCATTATACGTTTTCTCCCCTTTCCCAATGTGTTAATATGGGTTGCATGTGCTTGCTATGTGTTATGTGTGCATGATACCCCAATTTGGTTGCGATCAAATTGGTTATTCCTGAGCTGCGGTTCAGAAGCTGGCTGCGGTCAGAATTACACCCTTGGGCTGCGGTCCACCG